AAGTAAATGAAATGATAAACCGTTGCAGTTCCACATGTTTGTAAAGTTCATTACTTGTTTTTTTTACTTAAAGATACTAGTACATTATCATTTCAATAGTGAAATATATGAACATTACTAGTATGCTTCATTGATTGTATATCCTAAGAAATTTGCCCTTTGTATTTTGTATATGCCATTTCAGGGATACAAGAAAAAGTTAAATTCTGGGAAATAAGTGTGTGCTGCTTGTCCAGTTGCAAGTAGTTATTTTCTTAGGTTGGTATTAGCATACTGGCCTTTCACAATAGGTTGCTCTTTTAAAAAACAAAACAAAACTAATTTAAAATATGTTTCTGGTTAAGCTAGATGTCAATCCAGAGTACTGAAATATTTCAATTATAACCCTTTGACAAAGTCTATAATAAAATTACATTTCATGTACTTTTCCTATGATCCTTACATATCACAATTGCAAATATTTTTGGTTCTGATTGATGATTAAAGAACTATTAACTACTCTTTATTTGTTCATAGTGCAGATATACTGAAAGGCTTCAATATAATTAAGACATGCTTTTCCACATTTTTCTGCCTTTATGAAACTGATTCATTCAAAGTAATTAACATTTGAATATGTGCCATGATACCTCTTTTTGACATTTCCTAATTCACAGCTCTGTTTCCTAATGGTCTTTTTATCTAGTGTCTGGATAGCATAATGTGACTGTGATAAAATGTCAGCTATTCCACAAGTGTTTTACTGTTCTTTGTAATTGAATCACATTTTTTATGTGTTAATATGTTTATTTAGTTAACCACTCATTATGTACTTAATTCTGGAAGATAATTTCACTTAACCCAATCATATGATTTATTTTGGCTGCAGATGTTAGATAAAAATATAACAAATATGTTAAGCCTATGTTTACACAGTTTTTAAAATTTTTTAATATAATCCTATATAATAAAGAGCTAATATGCTAATTAGACCAAACAGCAGAACGACTATCTGGATGACCTTCCTGCCCAGGCAGCCGCGGCTGCGAGGGCGAGCCCCTTGCACGAATTTTGTACATTGGGCCTCTAGTGTTTATTATAATTGTTTAATATTAGATTCTTTAGCTGATCTGTTACAGATAAGGCTGTGTTTGCCTTTATTATATTTCCTGGAAGGATGTTCAGAGTATAAGAAAGCTGTTAAGCTAGCTAGCCTGTCAACCTTGTCTGTGGGTTACTCTTTTTCTTCTTAGATTTTTATTTTGTAAGAATATTGACAAAATATTATTTTTCTTCTTTCCTTTAGCTTTTGGACCATGAAGGATACATTAATTAAAGTCAAACTATTGGCAATGTTTATGTCAGAATAAATTTTTATACACTCATTATGAGATTTTACTTCTTTGTTATAAATGCATTGCTTGCTGGTAAAAAAAAATCAATGTTTTAAGCTTTCTCATAAAAGCTAGATTATTTTTATGTGATCCCTAAGAAATTCCTCCTTTCACACTTTTCTGTTTTTATACAGGTCCTCATGCTGATACCGCCAGCGGATGCCAGAATTTGCAGTGTGGTTTTCGAGCCTGCTGCCGCTCTGGCGAATGACCCTTGACTTCTGACCTTTGTCTACTTCATTTAGCTGAGCAGGCTTCCTTTCATGCACTTTACTTGTAGCACATTTCTTGTGTTAACCATCCTTTTTGAGTGTGACTTGTTTTGGCCTCATCCTTACAGCCTCAGAAATCTTAAAATTTACCAGTGAATTGTACAGTGTTGTTTCTCTTGCAAATCATATTTTTGTTTTAGAAAGGGATTAGGTCTTTTCATGAGGATGAGAACAGTTTTATCAGATTTCTTTTAAATTGAATGCTTGGAAAATAATGTCACTAATGCCTTGCCATTCAAAGTATTTTTTAGATTATTTTGAGTTTTAAAGTCAGTGGGGGTTATTGGTTCTCTTTCTATATAAACACTGTACCAAGCTTTGCCGATCTTTCAAACATACACTTCTGAAGTTTTATTTTCAAAGACAGCACTTTTTGGAAACCAACCTGTTTTCCATAATGTTTCCTTTATTTGAACAATTCTTAGAAGGCCAATTCAAACATACCCACATATAAGATTCTTAAGTTTATAGAATAAATTGGCTTCTTGGCAGTTGCTCAGTGAGCTAGCAAAGCACCAATTTATTTGTATTTGCTTTCTTCAAAGAACCCCAGTTTCCACCACTGTTCCTAAATTGTCAAATTTGGGAGGGATTTTTAAAAATTCTACAATCATTTGAAGAAATGTATAAATAAAATCTACTTTGAGGACTTTACCAAGTGTCTTTTGTGTTTTGATTTTATTATAAACCTCAATGCAGGTTTACTTGAAGGTAAAATTGGACTAAATATTTTAGCTCCCATGAAATCCTGACCTTGATAAGCAGTTTTAGACAGATAACCTAATTTTGTTGAGCTGAATCGGTGTTTTTATTTTTAATTATGCAATAGTTTGCTATGTGAAAAGGTAACGGGATTGGAGACCTGCAATTCAGAAAGGTGCATGCGGAGTCAATTTTATATATCTAATGCTATATGAAATTCTATGTCAAGAAGAGAAGAGTAGGCGGCATGCCATCAAAATACGTGCAAAGCTATGAAAGAGGAAATAGTCTTGCAGTCCTGTTTGTGGTCCCAGGTATTGTTTTATTGGGGGATAGGAGGTGTAGGAAAGAAACAAACTGTGGGAAGACAGGTTTCAGTTCAGGCTAAGAGAAAACTTTATCTTAGACAATGTATTCTAAAGATGAAAGAAGAATCATTTGATGGGCATATAAATAAGGAGAATTCACACATGCTTGTAAATTTCACTAACATTTGAATTAAATACTCTGAGGGAAGATCAGCTCTAAAGGGTGGATATCTCATGACTCTCTGAAATTTTACCTTTCTTTAAGAGGTTTTTCATTTTGATTCCATTTCTGTTAACAATTGCAAAATAAATGATGGACCCACCGCTAGTTACTTGCTGGGCAGCTTAGTGTAAGGTGACCATCTTTCTTTTTGAGTTTGTAGCTCTTAAACTTAAGTAGTTATGTGGTACTGCTTATGCCTTGCTTTGTCCTTTAGTCTGGCCTAAGCTACTTCTTGATTCCCTTAGAGGACTTAAAATCTGAGCTTATTGAACAGTTACAGGGTCCGAAGTTTTATTTTGTAAGGTTGACATTTATAGTTACTATATTTTTATTTCTCTAAATGTTTAATAAAACTTATTTGAATAGTTGACATCAGGGACTATTTCAAGAAAACAAACTACAAGAATTTTTCTTCAGTAAGTGCTATCCAACCCTGTACTTGGACTTATCTGTAGTTATGTGAACTGCATGGTAAAATTACTCATCTATAACCATGCCCTGGGTCACCAAGGCACTAAAGTTTCTCTCCCATATAAGCAGAAGACAGTATACTGTTGTTTTTTTTTTTGGGGGGGGGGAGATTATGAGAAATACTTAAAATCATGATTAAATGGTGTTGCAGGACTTGGCTCTAATTGTTATCCTTTTAAATTAATTAATTTAAGCAGCTAATTTCCCCAGGGGTTCCAGGTAATTGAGGTGCCTCCCTTTTGCTTTGGCCTGTGCTGCTTGATGTTAGCAAACCATTCAGTAGGACTTGGCAAGCTTGAACCGAACTGACTTCAAGTCAGCACTGGTCATGTGGGAACTGTTTTTCTACTGTCCACCTTCCCTCCATTGCATGGGGAGATAGCAGTCTGCATTTAATTTTTATACATTGTCGCTGTTGCATAATTAACTTAAGGGGATGGTTAATAATGATACACTATATACACTTGGTTTAAATTTATCTTGGGCTTTATGAATGATTTCATGAACTATTGAAACTTCATTCTTAGAATACAATGTAAAGTACCTTGTGGTTTCTGACAAACATCAGGCTCAGTGCTGGGCAGTGCCCTAAGGACAGTTGACCCTTGAGCATCTTGGGTTTCAACTGCAGGGGTCCACTTATACATGGATTGTTTTCAATAAATTCCTCTACTATTTTTGATCCCCATTTGGGAGTCTATGGATGCCAATTGTGCATTGATGTACCCCATTTTATATAGGGGACTTGAACATTTGGACTTACGTATTTGTGGGGTAGTCCTCAAACCAATCCCCCAGGAATACCGAGAAACAACTAAGGTTTTTGGAAGTCAAGGGTTTTCTTACTCAGCTGTGAACACTCAGCACTGCCAACAGGCAGTAAAAGAAGATATATTGTCTATTAATGAGGACTTTTCTTAGCAATGAAAAACAATTAGGATAAAATCATACCCTTTTAAGAAATCATTGCAAGTCTTAATTTTTAAAACTACCCTTTTGTTAAATATTTAAAAATATTCCCCTTTCTCCCATAAAATACACTGTGTGTATGTGTATATGTGCATGTGTCTAGTTGCTCAGTATTTCTGTAGGGTATCGTCTTACAACGTACTCAGCATTAAAAATAATATCATATTGCAGTGTTGTTCCTCCTTCCATCAGAAAAGTTGTGTTGTTTTACTGGGTCTTAAAAGTATAATTGATAGTCTGTTGGACAGGCAAAGAAGGGCAAGTAGGAGGTGAGCAAGCACAAAAGCATGGTGGTATGAAGCTCACAGTGTAAGGGGGGAACTGTGATATGTGCCATGCCAGCATGGCCAAGGGTGAACTTGAGGAGTGGTGGTGAAGGATTAAAGAAGACAGACAAAGAGAATATAGCTGGGGCTTGGTGGATCTCCCATGCCTGGATGAGGACACAGAAAAGATCCAGCTGGCGAGCTGAGGCTTTATTTTATAGTCAGAGATAAACAAGGTCAACATAGTTACAATGTTCTTGTGAGTTTCACTTATTTTGGCAGTACTTGCTGTATCTCCCACAGCCCATTAGCTACCTAGGAAGGATCTAGGGAGCGCTATAAGGTCAAGCTTAATTATGCTAGGAGAGCTCTTCCCTCTAAGCTGGGACTTGTTTGTGGCTCTGCCACAGGTCAATCCGAGGCTTAACTCTATAGCCACTCCCTACAGTGATAGTTCTGAATTTAGCGTCAAAGTGGCAGAGACAAGGCTGACTAATGAATAACACTTTTTTTGGGGTACAGTTTAAAATTTTTATTTCATTTGCAAATTATATTTTCTTCTGATGTGATTGAACAATATCAGTTAAAAATATTCTCATATCCTAGTTACAGTTTTACATGATATAAAAAGTATACAATGAAAAAATTACCTGTTACGTATAAGGGAGGCAACATAGATCCAAACAGACAAAACATTTTTGGGATATGGGTGGATATATACAGCTAAAGCAAATTCAACATTAGGAACATCAATATTATGCACGCCAGTGCTATACACAGCTTCAATTAAAGGCTTCAGTTCAGAATAGGGCATGTGAAGGGGAAATCCGGAGAACTGAAGGGAAAAAACAAGGTTTGTAGACATTAGTGAAGTTTAAAGATTTTACTTTATTTTTTTTTCCTCTTAATATGCAACTTTTAATATTCTTAATAAGAAGTTTTCCTCTGGATCACAAAGTCATTTATTTCTGTCTTTCTGTTCAGCTATATATTAGCAACACAGAAAACGGAGTGGGGCTAAATGTCTTTTGTTGTGAGTTGCTAGCATGTTGACTTGGTATATAAGACACCTATTGGTCACCCTCTGCTGTTCCCTTCCCTCTTCCTGATAGCCCCTGGTTTGCCCAGTAACCCATGCAATTCCTGGGGCCCAGGTTAAGCTAATCATTGCATTCCATCCCCCTGGCCACAGTGATTCTCTGAGGGGTCGATCAGTGACTCTCCACGTGAGTTTTAGGAATACTGGCCCTCAGACGCACTCTCCTGCTTTGTCAATATGTGTGCATGTTGTCAATAGGTGTGAGCCCTGCCTAGAACTTTCCAACCAAGTGCTGCCATGAGAAAAGCCAGCTTGAGGATGATGCCATCACAGGGAGGACTCCTCTTCTACTTAAATAAGCCAATAACTTATTTTTATTGCCCAATGATGCTTGAACTAAGTTTTCTGTTACTTGAGAACATCTGGCTGAAAACCTGGCCTTAAAAGTTAAAGGATATGTTTAAGTCAGTGACTAGAATTAAATGTCCAGCTTCACCCTGTGTGTCCAGCAAGGCATACTGCCTCCATTTGAGACTGCTTGCTAGTTTTTCTTACTCAGCTGTGAACACTCAGCACTACCAACAGGCAGTAGAGAAGATATATTGTCTATTAATGAGGACTTTCCTTAGCAATGAAAAACAATTAGGATAAAATCATAGCGTTTTAAGAAACCTGATTGAGAGTGGTTGGTTTCACCTTTAATGCATAGTTGAGTCTAACATGAACTAGCCAGATGATTTCATTTTATTTTACTGGCAATGTATTTTATAAGTTATTTTTTATATGATCATCTTATAAAATGGTATTTTTTATTTGAAAAGTATTCTGCTACTTAATGATAGGTTACTGAGATTTGAACTGTTAATGATATTTTTTAGTCTGCGCTACTTCATATACTTTGTAGAGCAATGTAGGATTTTTTTCTTTTTACTTTTCAATTCTAGCCTACATTTAATACCATTCTGTACCAGCTCCAGATGCACAGTAAAGTGGTCAGAAAACCACGCACCCCACAGTGGTCCCCCCACTGCCCCAAGCACCCACCTGGCCCCATGCCCATTTATCTCTACCTATGAACCAGGAGGTCACTGTTTGATTCCAGGCCAGGGCACATGCCCTGGTTGCAGTCGTGGTCCCAGTAGGGGGCATGCTGGAGGCAGCCATCAATGATTCTCATCATTAATGTTTGTATCTCTCCCTCTCCCTTCCTCCCTGAAATTTAAAAAAAAAAAAATGCCCCACAGCTGTTTGTCCACTCATCTGATGGGCCATTGTAGGAATTTTGATGACAAAAACCTGTTAAGGAGCAATTTCCCATTCGAAACTGGGGAATCCACAGGCTCAGTTGAGAGCTGTGTGCTTACCCTGTAGTCCCCCAGCTGTCTCAGCAGCTCTGCTCTGTGGTCCTCTTCTACTTCCTCCCCTCGGCTGCTTTCCAACAGAGGCAGGAAGTGGCGCAGCGTGGATGTGCAGTACCTGTTCCACCGCGTCAGGTGCCGTGGCCTCCAGTCCATGACTTTTTCTTTTAGTATTTTTTCAATCCTGTTTATAAAACATAAACTCCATTTTTTTTGCTGATTTGACTTTTCCCTTTTAGACAAAAATCCAGTTTGCATGCAGTGGGGATTCAGGTGATTACATAACCACATTTTGTAGGTGGAGTTGTTGTTCGCTAGGAGTAGTTGGTGCCTAATAGGGGCTAATCCCTGAGGATTCAGAAATTAAAACCAGTGATCCTTGCCCTTACGGGTCGTATATGGTTGGGATGGGGAGTAGACTTTGGGATGATATTCTAAGGGCCATAACAGATGCTTGAACCAGAACACAAAAAAGGGAGCACTGAATAAGGGGGACAGCTAAATTCAGTACAGTCAGCGAAAGATTTTTCATGCAGTGTTCTATCACTTCATTCATTGGTAACGTATGTACAAACAACTTAGACCCAGGCATAAGGGGTGGGGTTTATGCTGAGAGCTTCAAGTAGGCTGTGTATGCCCCATATTGATTGCTTCCCAGTGCCTTCTAGTTATGAGGTTTATTTTTCTAAATTGCCTTAAAGCTGCCTTTAAAATACCCATCATCATTGCAACTTAAGTTTTGGTATCCTTTTTATAGTTAACTAGAGGCCCGGTGCATGAAATTCGTGCATGGGGTGGGGTCCCTTCAGCCCGACCTGCACCCTCTCCAATCCGGGACCCCTCGGGGGATGTCCGGATGACCGGCAGTTGGACATCCCTCTTGCAATCCGGGACCACTGGCCCCTAACTGCTCACCTGCCTGCCTGATAGCCCCTAACCACTCTGCCTGCCTGCCTGACCGCACCTAACTGCCTCTGCCTGCCAGCCTGGTTGCCCCTAACTGCCCTCCCCTGCTGGCCTGATCGCCCCTAACCCCCTCTGCCTCGGCCCCCGCCACCATGGCTTTGTCTGGAAGGATGTCCAGATGGATGTCTGGTCTAATTAGTATATTACCCTTTTATTAGTATAGATGTGATGGATATTGGGTTCAAAGGATGTGAAGCTTAAACACAGAATGAAAGAAAATAGCTACCACTCGTTAATCCCTTGTTCACTAGATACTGTGCTAGTGTGTTTTATATATTTTTATGTACTCCTAACAATAACCCTATGAGGTAGGGCAACACTGTCACAATTTTACCTATGAGGGATCAGTGAGATAGGATAAAGGAGGATGATGGCAGGGGAGCTGGGATTTGAGTTGAGGCCCCGCCAGTTCTAAAGCCCCTTGTGCACCCCTAACTAGACACACAGGTGTGAGGACCCCGCCGGCTTCCTGCTGCTCAGAGCTCTGGGATCCCTTCCTCTTGTGGCACAAAACACGACCTCTGTGTTGGGTTTCAAGATGGTCTGAGCAAGAACTGCCTTGCACTTCTCATCAGTCCTGCAGAAACAGATGGTGGGAGGCTAATCTGCAGTTCCCTGAGCTATTAGAAGAGATAAGGAACTTCTTGGCAGTTAGCTGTTCTATGTGGGGATCCCAAACAAGACTTTATCTAAATTTGAACTTGAGAGTGAATTGGTGTTTTCTAGTAGCAATACCTGAAATCAGGCCACGTTTAGTCTTGTGTGATTTGACATGCTGCTGCTCAGAGCTTGGTACATAGAAAGGGCAGACAGGCTTTGAAGTCAGAACATCTGGCAGACCTCTAGCCCCCCGAACACTTAACAGCATGTGGACCTCTCTGAGCCTCAGTTTCCACATTTGTGAAACTGAGAGAGTATGTTCTATTTTGCATGATTATAAGGATTATAGGGACTCAAATAGGTTCTTACAGGCCACGATTTAGGTTTATAAACTGGTTGAAGTTTAGTAAGCCACTAATTGGACAAAAGAGGCATGTAAGCTGGGGATTATGATCTGTCTGAACAAGACCCATAGCGACATGATGTTGAACTCTAATCTGAGGCTGAATTTTGGAGGACTGCCTAGCGTCCCAGAGTTCACTTCTGTTTGTCCCACACCACGCTGATGCTAAAGCCTCCTTTTGAGCCAGGGGATTTAGAGATCACATCTGTACTTGGGGTCTATAAACAGGGATTACAGTGTAATTGCCCAAATTATTTCCCATGGCCCCAGGCTGAGAATCGTCTAGTGGGATTACACGCCCAGGGACAGAGTGCATGTGCATGTACGGCACCACGTGACCTGTCCTGTAGCTCAGCTGCGGCCGCCTTGTCAGTGCGCTGGTAAACAAGCTCTTCCGGCTGTAAAAGATGAAGTTCAGAAATTCTAGAAATCTTGTACACCTAATTTGAATACTCCACATCCTTTCTAACTCCTTTTTTTTTAATTATGAAATTTTAGACAATCAGAGCATAACCGATGCCAATGTATGCATGGCCCATCTTAAGTAAAGCATCACCAATAAATGATAGCTCATCCTCAGTTTCTTTTCTCTCTCATCACAGAAGTAACCATGACTTGACATTTGTTTTCTAACACTTTCATTCCACATACTTAAAGTACCTACTGTGTGTCAGGCACTTTTGTAGGTGATGGGCATATAGCTGTGAATAAACATTTCTGTCCCCATGATATTTACATTATAGTACAGATAGGCAAATTAATAAAATGTGTGCATGATTTTACTACAGACATACAGATCCCTAAATTATATATTGTATTGTTCTGAATGGTTTTTAAACTATGTGATAATTTTATGCTGTGAGTATGCAAATTGCTTCTTCTCTCTTAACATAATATTTAGAAATAATAGCAAACACATTTTTAGAATGCTTTCTAAAATTAATATTGATTCATTTGTGTAGCAATGATAAACTATTCCATTGTGTACCATAATTTATCCTTATGCTGTTCCAATTCTTAGGCTATTGCAAACATTGCGTCTATGAAAAGTCTTGTGTATGTCACTTTGTACACATGGGAGAATTTCTCAAGGCAGGGTTTATTAAATCTTTTTTTTAAAGGTTTGATCACAGTAAAAAATACATTTGATGTTATATACCCAGTATACACATACATACTTAGCTCTCAAACAAAAGTGGTGGTAAACAATTCTCATGCTTACTACTTGCAATCTATTACCAGGACCCTTCTTTATTAACTTTGTGAGTGGATCATGCTATGAAATTAATTTAGTGCACTGACACCAGAATATTAAAAATTACATAGAATAACTTTTGTGATACTCTCTTATGTCACAGGACTCCTTACATCAAAATGTTTTCTTTTACATAAGTGTATACTGGTTCATGACATGATGGTATATATCTTATTTTGAGTTGTGCTCAACTAAGTTTGTAAAACAAATATTATTTTAGAAAAAAATATCTAGGAGTCGAATTAAGGGTCAAAAAGTATCTGGTTACCCAGCATAGTGACTTCAAATTTTTCACTTTCTTTGTCTACATTTGATTGTTATTAAAAGAATTATACCTGAACACTGGAAAGGCCAGGGTATGGAAGACTTCTTGAAAAGAAAGATTTCCATAGCTTGGGCTTGGTGACATCAAAATTTACCCTTAGTGGGGAATCATATCGTTGAATATTAAACCAAATCTAAAAAAGACAAGATCACCATTAATACATGCACACACACACGCACACACACACAATGTATGTGTGCATGTATGTACAGAGAGGCAGATTCCTGCTTTATACAGTACCCTCCAAAATTAAATGGCTCTCAAACTGGGCGCAGCCAGAATCACCTGATAGTACCTGGAAATCTCTCTTAAAAAAAGAAAGAAACTCAATTTTCTCAGATGATAAACCAAAGCACTAAGAGTTAGGCATTGTGAATGCTGTTTTGGAAGAATAAACAGAAAAGAGCTGGGACACAAACTCGGCTCTTCTGAATCGAATCCTGTATTACTCCTTTAACATTCTGCTTCTTTGCAGGTCAGGTGACTAATTCAACCAAAACTTTTATTTAAGACAGTTGTGTAACTGTGCTTGACACTACATTTCTTTAAATGGTATATATGTAGTCCTGGCTGGGTGGTTCAATTATTTGTAGCAACATCCTGTACAGTGAAAGGTTATGGGTTCGGTTCCCAATTGGAGTGCATATGGGTGGCAACTGATCGATGTCTCTCTCTCTCTCTCTCTCTCTCTCTCTCTC